ATGGGACTTAAAAAAATATTACAAAATATTACTGATCCCAAACTTTTGTGTGCATGTAATATTTATTTTAAATTGGCTAGTTTGTGCAAGTAAATTTATTTAAACTGGTTGTTAAAAGTTCAAATGGATTGTGTTATGTTCTGTAATTGCCGTTAATAAATTAATGCTAAAGTTTCACCTTTAGGGGTACAACAGCCTGGTAGCCTTTTACTAAACATAACAATGGTTTTATTACATTAACCACAATTTACCACAGTATTTGTAGTAAAACTGCAATAACCACAAATTTACCACGATAATAATAATACTACATTTTAGTACTTATGTAAAACCATGTTTATTTTTCATAAGGTACCCTCAAAGGTGCACCTTTGTAACTTATCTACCCTTAAAACATGCATACTTGTATGGTACTAATATGCTCACTTTTAGGGGTATAGTTGCACCTTTGAGGTTACTGCCCCATTAAAGGGCTAAAATATATAACTATAGTATATTTTATTTCTAAAAGTGTAAACAAAAAAGTCCTATGAAATGTTAAAAAACATGGCTTTAAAATCTAATATTAAGTGAGTATAATTACTGATTATATATTCTTTAAATAATTTAAAAGATCAGTTTAGTTTAGAAGTATCGGTAGCAGTATCAATATTGACAATACTGGGCTTGAAAATATCGGTATCGGATCGAAAATAAAATAAGAGGTATCGCCCATCCCTACTTATCGGCTTATGTTCAAAAACAACAAGGGCGCTTGTCGGCTTCTGCAGTAAAACGTGAACTCGCGATGCCTTGAAAGTGGACAAAACCGGTGTTCCGGTGAATTCATTTCCCTGTCTCCCCCTCACAGCGCATGCGCAGCTTCAGTACGAAAATCATGATGTCTTTTTTTCCCCCCCAGTGAAGCGAGTTTTAGTGGTTTTGCTGTCTTTTCGCAAGCACAAGGTTCATTTCACCATGTTCATTAGATAGCTAATTTTTAATTAAATACATGTATGTACGTAACGCCCTGTTCAATCGCTATAGATTCAGATTTCCCTGCTAATTCTAACTCTGGCCTATTTTAAAAGTGTGACGTTTAGGCTACGATTAGACAGTTAAACTCCGTCAGGGGCATTCTTTTGTTCGGACGCCCATTTCCATTTTATTGTTATTGTTGTTAGTGTGTGTGTGTTTTTGTTAAACAACTGAAGCCTTGTCGAAATAATGACAAATAAACTATATTGCACAATGACTAGTCTCTCTTTTATTATTTTAGGTAACGAGTGATGCTCCTGATGTTTTTTTAAATGTCATAATTATGTCTAACCGCTTTTATCTGCAGAACACTTTACACTGAAAACACAGGGGGAACAGATTTTTCCAGAGGCCTGAGAAAAGTGGTGAACCTCGGAACATGGGAACTTCGAACTGCGTCCTCTAGGGGTCGCTATGGGGAACGCCTCGTCGTGACCCGTGTCTGAAGCATACATTGAAAAAACACCAACTCGTTGGCTGGCGACAGTCATGACGTCACTACCGGTGCGACTATAGTATAAATAGGCGCCGGGAGCTACACATCATTCTCTTCTTCGTCTTCATTGACTGTTTTGTTTGAAGCGTGCATTTCTGTGGTAAGAGCGATCTCTATTTATCTCATTATGGCAAGCACTAGCAAAGCATTTAAGGATGT